GTCCTCTAAAGTAAATCTCAAGAAATCAGTATATCTAATTAATGAATCAGTGTCGGTCCTCTAAGGTAAATCTCAAGAAATCAGTATATCTAATTAATGAATCAGTGTCGGTCCTCTAAGGTAAATCTCAAGAAATCAGTATATCTAATTAATGAATCAGTGTCGGTCCTCTAAGGTAAATCTCAAGAAATCATTATATCTAATTAATGAATCAATGTCTGTCCTCTAAGGTAAATCTCAAGAAATCAGTATATCTAATTAATGAATCAGTGTCGGTCCTCTAAGGTAAATCTCAAGAAATCAGTATATCTAATTAATGAATCAGTGTCGGTCCTCTAAGGTAAATCTCAAGATGAAAGTATTTTAAACTGTATATCTGTTGATCTAACTGTTTAACTACTAACTAGTCCATCTATATGAAGAGTCAATATTGATCACAACACACTAACCTCCGATACATCCCGGTTTGTGTTTAATTTGGTGAAATCCTTCACAGCATTCATAACGTATCACTCTGAAAATAATTAAGAAACAGTTTAAGCCTAATATTCAACTGAAAGGTTTCTCTGTTTCAAGTAGTGTTCGAAAGAAAATTGGATATTTTACGATTGAAGCTATTAAGGCTATCTGCCACCGTCTGTAATTTTGAACTACTGACCAGATGGAAGGCACCAATGAACAGCACCCTACCACTCACTAGCCACGATATCGGTTTGACTGTTACTCTTGTAACACACCCACAGCTTAAAGTTCTGGGAAAAGTTTGTGATATATCACGAAATTTAAACCATCTTGCCAACTACGAAATCCAGAGTTCTTCCACAGGGCAAAACTGTGCCCCTTTCCCCTCTTACAAACCCACTAATCCAGAGCTTTACCTCAGGGTCAACTTCTGTCTCTTTCCCTCTCACAAACCCACTAATCTAGAGCTCTACCTCAGGGCCAAACTGTGCCCCCTTTCCCTCTTACAAACCCACTAATCCAGAGCTCTACCTCTGGGCCAAACTGTGCCCCTTTTTCCTCTTACAAACCCACTAACCCAGAGCTCTACCTCTGGGCCAAACTGTGCCCCTTTTTCCTCTTACAAACCCACTAACCCAGAGCTCTACCTCAGGGTCAAACTGTGTCCATTTTTCTTCTTACAAACCCACTAATCCAGAGCTCTACCTCAGGGACAAGCTGTGCCCCTTTTTCCTCTTACAAACTCACTAATCCAGAGCTCTACCTCAGGGACAACTGTGCCCCTTTCCCCATTTACAAATCCACTCAAATATATTTGAAGTGGTAGCTCCAGAACTGAAAGTGTTCCAACGAGGGCTATCTTCATTATGTATCCATTACGACAATTTTCTTTGAATATAATAAAAAACAACGACTTTGTTTGATTTAGTTTTTTTTAAAGGTCAGAATGGGCCCTTAACTTTACCCTAACTAAAGTACATAACATCATTAGATACAATAGAAATGAAAAGCTTACTTCAAAGAGGTAATGCTGATTGGACAGCTATTTGTGCTCTGCCCAACGCGGGTATCTAACCCACAATTCTAGCCTTTTAAGCTTGCAGACCCACCACAGAGCCACTGGAGGAGGGCACAACAAATGTAGGAACATTAGAAACTGAATACAGAACAAAACAAATTAATTCAACTGACATTAATCTTAGCTCGGATTCGTAAGTATAGTAAATTACATTAAATACGAATCTTCAGACAAAAAGAAATATAAATAATGTATTTAAACTCCGAATAACGTAAGAAACAATAACCTGTATTTACATAACTCACTGAAATCACACATACTGAAATTTTTATATCACTACGTCATCTAGCGGTTGGACATCAAATATTTTCAATTACAGCTTACGTTTTTACACCACATATTTCTCTGTTCATCCAATACTTGCACTCCGTCCAATACTTCTTGTTACTTCCTGGGACTTCTTCCACTGCACACGTGTTAGGCCTAACATGGAGAAATTACGAGAGCAAATTCTTAAGTATTCAACAATAAATAAAACTTTCACAACAATAGAAACCGTTAAAACAATACATTAAAGACTGAATATATAGATTACTGTTTTATGACTTAAAGGTAAGTTTGAGGGTTTATAGCGTTAAAGATTGTGGTTCGATTCTCCCGCAGATGACATAGAGTATATAGCCCATTGTGTAGCTTTGAGCTTAAATAAAATGAAAAAAAAACTTAATAATCTCATGTATTTTTTCTAACATGAACGTTTATTAGTAAACGTAATTAAATGTGCTTTAACAGGACATTAATTTATAAAATTGTTTTAAAATTGAAGAAAAAAGAACGCTTTTAACTGAATATAAGAGAAACAATATAAAGACATAAAAATGTGCCATTTCTTTAAAACGTAGGCAGTTTTTCTGTACTACGTTTTAATATTTGTTTAAATGGCACATTTTTTACTGTATAAATACTGAACATTCTAATGGAAACTGTTACTTATTTTAAACAAATATCGTAAGTCGTTTAAACAAATCCAATTTACTTTTTAGTTTTCGCTGTTTCTTTGTAAGCGAAGAAATTCAGAATGTAAAAAAAAACATAACAGATAAGCGTACTTATAAGGTGGAGAAATACAGATAAAATCCAACTTGATACAGATACAGTTAAACATGTTCAAAGGCCTAGTGATTAGCGTTCAGAGCTGCGGATTGAAATGTTCACGATTCGTGTCGTGATGCCGCTAAACACGCTTTAAACTTTCAGTTGTTGGTGTGTTATAAGAGTGACAATTAATTCCATTATTCGGTTTTTAAAATCCAGACAAAGCTCTTGTGACGGCGGGTGCTGCTGGCTGGCTGCATCTTCTCTCTAATCACGAGGTCAAAGCTAGGGACAGCAACACTTGACCACTAGAGATCGCTGTCCTGACTGTTTAACCCTCGTGCGATCAGGTTTAAAATATCAATTAATTACCAACACTGCTATTTTATTCAATCGTCAAGTATGCATAGATGTTCAGATTTAGCCTCTTTTGGTTACAGTTTAAAACTGTCTAAGAACATAGAAAATGAGGTAAAACACATGCTATCTAACAATCACTACAGAAAACTTAATAAAATAAACATTTAAAACCACTTTGACATCTGCCAGCAATCAAACAGCACCTCTATTGAAGCCTTCCACGTACTATTTACTTTGTTTCCACTAGAAACACTAAGCCTAAATTCCATAAAACCTGCCCTAAACAAAACGTACCAAAGATTCCAACAAATTCTCAAGTTCTTGGAAACTCTATTATAAAAGTGGTGGTTTTCTAGCCAAAATACGGAGTCGAACTGTTCTTTTCCCAAAACTTCGCTCTCCTGATTCGCAGCATAAGATTATAAAAACATCCAAGATTCTTTCCCAAGCGTACCCTTACAACACTGTAATAAAACAACAACAATAATCCACGAGAAGCGCACCCTTACAACACTGTAATAAAACAACAACAATAATCCACGAGAAGCGCACCCTTACAACACTGTAATAAAACAACAACAATAATCCACGAGACGAGGCATATAACGTTTCAGGTTTCAATTAAAGCTGCATTCAGTATTTCTAACAATGCAGCTTTCATGAGTGATACTTCATCTCAGGAACCTCACAGCTGATCTTTATAAGTCCTGACAGTTGTGTGACGTATATAACACTCTCCAACAATTTCTAGTTCTGTCCTTGGTTAGTCATAACACTTTTGTTATGGTTAATTTAGCAGCTACAAACAACACCTTATTGAAAACGAATCTACTTTGGTCAAATACATTTTATGTCACGTGATAAAGTAACAAAATCAACAACAAGTAATAAAAAAAAATCATCAAAGGTGTAAAAACAAAAGGAACAGTACCATTGATTCAACAGATAACGTAATACAGACACACACACACACAAACGTCGGAAGTAAAGGTGGAAAAGCACAGGAGGTTGTTATAAAATACACAATGATCTGAAGTCTGGAAAACGTTATCGTTTTGCCTATCTAATAAAAAGTATTTTCACATTCATAATCGTCAGACGTACGTAGGGATAAATATTGGGCTATTGGCTGTGTCCACTGTGGAGATTCGAACCCCGTAGAATTACCGCTGTTATTCCTACTTTAGAACTGCTGACCAGAGGGAGAGCAAATGGTAATCATTTCTCACTGCCTACGCGACTACTCGTGACCTAATAGTGGGATCGAACCTTGGACCTTCCCACACGCAGTCGACACGTTAACAAAGAGCTCACGCCCGGCTCATACAATTGAAAGATTTACTTTTCATAAAATTGAGTTAAATAATTAAACGACCCCCTTTCCCTAATTATATTTAAATGGAGTCTTTCTCCAGGTAGTCACATCAGCTGAATTCCTGGGTTTAAATTTATGTTTCTAAACGTAGCTGGTCACAACACGTAAATATGGCAGAGAAGCAACTGTATACGACGTCTGACTGGCAACAACAGACACGCAACAACTGGAGATATCTTATTACAATGGAGGTTGCGATGTATACGTCCAAAATTCGAATCTCGGAAACTACCGCACCGATCATCACCAATCATAACTGGGTGATATTTTTATAACTAGGCAATATTTTTATAGCTGAACAGTAAATAAAACAATTGAAATGTTTACAAAAATGATACATTTCAGATTTAACCAATAAATATTACAAAATAAGGAGTAAGTTTCAAATATAAAACAATCAAGAAATAAACTTAAAAAATTAAATGTTTTTCTTTAGTGAAAATCTCATGAGTGTTGCAACTTTCAATGACAACTGCGCCTACAAAGAAATACTTCAATAAAATCTACTCTGTGATGATAGCTCATTTTTAAACTAAAATTTCAATAAAATCCTTTTTCTCGTGGATGGTGAACATTATTTAATGTGAAGTATGAGTACATTGTTGTAGAACTGTCAGACAATTCCAGAAAAGGGCACAGGGCCAGTAGCCAAGGCCGCAGGAACTAGCAGTTATATCTGCCCGGAGGGCGGGCATTTCTGCTGGTACTTAAAATTTATAAAAGATACGCCCCCTGGTAGAGTATGCCTGCTCTACATGTCGCAAAATCACATCTTACTACAATGGATGTAGCGTGTATGTCAGTATCTATGTGTGTAACCAAAACACCTGCGCCATCTATTGAATGACATCACAAACAAATATCCATAAAATATTTCACACTTTGGGTATTCAAGATTGAGACAATTATAAAAATAACTGTGGTATGTGTAACAACCATTTCTTTATAACAGAATACAATTTTTAAATAAAAGTACTCTACTCACAACAAGAACACGACTTTCACGAGGACTGTACGTGATGGTCTGATCATATC